TAAAAAAGAAGGAATTCTTACCATTTGCAACAGCATGGATGGAACTAGAGAGCATTATGCTAAGCAAAATAAGCCAGTGAGAGAAAGATAAATATCACATGATCTCATTTGTGGAATATAATGAATAACATAAAGGGATGAACAAAAACGGATCCAGAGACAGAGAAGCATCAATCAGATGCTCAAACCTCAGAGGGAAAGTAGAGGGAGGGTGGGGGTAAGGGGGAGAGATCAACCAAAGGACTTGTATGCATGCATATAAGCATAACCAATGGACACAGACAACAGGAGGGTGAGGGCATGAATGTGGGGGGGGGCCACTGGGGGGATAAGGACACATGTAATCCTATCTAATAAAAGAGTAATATGCAAATTGACCATCACTCCAAAACACAAGATGGCCACCCCCATGTGGACACAAGATGGCTGCCACAAGATGGCCAGCAGAGGAGGGCAGTTGGGAGGGACCGGGCCAGCAGGGGAGGGCAGTCAGGGATGACCAGGCTGGCAAGGGAGGGAAGTTGGAGGCAACCAGGCCTGCAGGGGAGAGCAGTTGGGGATGACCAGGCCAGCAGGGAGGGCAGTTAGAGGCAATCGGGCTGGCAGGGGAGCAGTTAGGCATTGATCAGGCTGGCAGGGGAGTGTTTGGTGATCAGGCTGGCAGGCAGAAGTGGTTAGGGGCAATCAGGCAGGCAGGCAGGTGAGTGGTTGGGATCCAGCAGTCCTGGATTGTGAGGTGGGATCGGGCCTAAATGGGAGTCGGACATCCTGCGAGGGGTCCCAGATTGGAGAGGGTGCAGGCTGGGCTGAGGGACACACATCCCCCCTCATGAACAATATTCGTGCACCAGGCCTCTAGTACCTTAATAAATAAAAAAGAACCAAATTCATGATCGAAAATGACAGATTGAAACACACGCATGTGATTGGTGTCAGCAAGAGTTTTATATGTATTGCTCATGTGCCAATCAACGTTTATTTTTAAATCACCAGTGCGCATTAGACATAGTGGCTGGTCACTTAGCCTTTTATATATATACTAGAGGCCCGGTGCACAAAAATTTGTGCACTCGGGGGTGAGGGGGGATCCCTCAGCCCGGCCTTCGCCCATTTTCAGTCCAGGACCCCTTGGGGGATGTCCACCTGTTGACTTAGGCCCACTCCCTGGGGGATCAGGCCTAAGCTTGCAGTCAGACATCCTTCTGGCAGCCAGGGAGCCCTCGGGGGATGTCCGACTAAAGGCTTAGGCCCCCAAGGGATC